AAGCAGCAAGTTCCTCTTTGAGCGCCATCAGCACTTTGTTCTTAGAAGAAGTGGATCTCCGCATAAGTACCTTGAACTTAGTGACCTTAGAAAGCAAACCTGGAACTCACAACGTGAATCTCAAAACCCTTGCTGCATCGACAATCCGCACACACGAAAAATCAATGAGACCCCGGCAAGCTTCCTGATTGCGGCCCCATTTCGCAAACTCCACTTGTGCACTGAAGGGGCATTTATGGAAATCCCCCCAGGCAAGGCGTTGGTGGCGCAAAGAAAGTGTAAGGTGGCCTGGGAAAGAATGTGGGAACTCATGCGGGTTCTTGACGGCGGTGTTCCTCGAATTGCTGCAGCAATCACCTCAAGGCACAAGTTAAACTTGTTCTTGTTCGCACACAACTCCTGCTCTAAACCAAGGGGCCCGGTCGTTGCAAATCACATCCATTCTGGTGATGTCCCTCTTCGCCTTGAAAAGGTTTCCCGTGGAATCGTTGAGCAAGTTGAGGCCTGCCTCGGCTGGGCGTGGATATGCAAGGCGACTCAAGAAGGGCCCTTGAACAATCAAACTTGTTTCAATCATTTAACAGGCCCCGCTTGTTTTGCTATATTTTTCTGACCCTGAAACCCATCACAAACAGTCAGAATATTGAGGGCCCCTTTTTCATTTCCTCGTGGCGTAAGTCAAGTTGTTCAGGGTTTGCTCCCAGTAGAATTGAAAACATAATTTGTTTTGACAAGTTCTGGACGGGTTCTTTTTGCGTTTCCTCTGACAAATTGTTCAGGGTTCCTTTTGGAAAAACAAACATGTTTCGACAAGTCATCTTCCTTTTGGTTTTCCTGAGGCGAGTCAGTGGGTCCTTTCAAGAACCAACCGTGTCGACAAGCCACCTTCTTCAGAGTGGGTTCCTTTTGCATTTCCTCAGAAATCCCACGACATTCTGGAGAGACCTGAAGTTCGCCTGCCGAGGCCTTTTGCCCTGCCATGCTCTCTGCTCTGAGCCCGCTCGGCCCGGCAGAGCACAGTAAGGTTGGCAGCACTTGCAGAAGCTAGCTCCAGCAAACGCTACATTCAAAGCAGCAGGGCACTTGGCGTCAACACATCTTTGATGCGAAGCTTCCTCTTGACAGCCTCAGATCAAGCAACCCCACAGTCTGTCGTTTTCAGTAATCACCAAACAAACAAGTGTAGGTCGAGGCCAAGAAGCTTTCATAGGCTAGGCTCCGGGAGGAAAAAGCTCACCGCGGCCCATGGCAATTTCAGGGCTTCCCCGAAACCAAGACAAGAGTGTTGGTCACTTAAGGTGTTGTTCCCTGGCGTAAGCTCTTTAGTTGTCCACGTGTGAAATTACTAAGGTTTCAAGCTATAAACAAAAGGGCGGCCTGTTGAATGGCAAATAGTTGTCGGTCGGGCTCACAGCTAAACACAGGGCAACCAAAACTGTTTCGTGTGGACCTTTTGTTGAAATTATGTTCCTTGCTTGGGCTAGGAAATGCGAATTGCAACAATTGTAACTAAACTTATGGACTGACACACATGTTGTTCTTCTGAGCCAAATTTGAGCATACAGGCGCGGCAACGGCGCGGGCAAACAAGACTGAGATTTGATGCTTGTAGACAAATACAGGAGCTTTAAAGCTTTGCAAGGCAGAAAACATACCATCAACAAATGGATTCCTTAGACAGGCTGTGCAGCAGCAAGGCTCCAGAGCGCACAGGATATGCATATTTTAAAGGTCATTTGAAACGACCCTTAAAATAAGGGTCATTTCAAACGACCATATGCTGGTTTTTTTTAAGGTACATACGGTCCTTCAGGAAGTTGCCCAGCCCCAATAATGAGGGCGAATTTTATGTTGACGACCGCGTCAAGCACATGGACAAGCGCCATGTCGTTGTGGCCGTTGACCTAAAGTGGATGGCCATCGAGGAAGCCGCCGGCATCTACAAAACCCGACGCGGTTTGATCGCCGTGCGGGAAGAGATACATGCGCCATTCTGGCGCGCATGCTATCTGCATCAGGAAGGGGATGTAATATACATCCGCCCCTGGGCGGTCCGTGAGTTGAATGTTCAGGGACCGCGGAGAGGGGTGTCATTTTCATGGGACAATGCTCCCATGCATGACTACTGGTGCCCTCGGTGCGCGCATTTGAACATGTATGGCACCATTCTATGCAATGGTTGCCATCTGCCGATTTTCTATCGTGAATGGGTGCCAGGCACCGTCCGCGCTCTGGTTAAGCATGGACAGCCAATCTGGCTGAGCGAACTCAAAGCAGTCCGCCCCAGCAGCTGGCATGAAGGGGAGACCGACGCGTGGGCCCCTCTCATGGCATCGGTAAACCCGATTCGCGAGGTGGTCAGCTGCATGATCACCGGTTTGCGCTGCGCGCCGCATCTTGTGCACATTCCCAATGCGGATATTGTGCAAGTTGCGTTTCAGGAGGTTGCAAAGGTCACCTCAAAGGACACTCACGCTTGTGTGCGGGCGAGTGATGAGGCTCTCGAGCGGTGGGTAGCGAAGCAGCTGCTCATCGAGGAGAGCAACACTGGCGTCTCGATTCCCGACAATATGTCTGTCATGGCATATTTAATCGAGCACCCGCAACAGGCGGCGCAATGGGGTCGTCATATGACGAGAAAGGGCAGTCTAAATTCAGCATTTGCCCTTTACCTCTCTGTGCATATCTTTGATGCCTACCGCATCGGGATTGAGGACGGGTATTTGGTTCCGCTGTATGGCCTAGGCGCCTCACGCGCGGACATCATAATGTCGTTGGTACAGGCTGAGCGACGCCTCACGGACTTCAATACTGAAGATCCGAGTTTCGACGCTTCCACTGTTCTTGATTGGAATATCGACTCTTTGCGGGCCAGTGGTGGATCCATCACGGCCCCAATTGAGTATGCTGAGGCATACATTTATGTCGAAGACAATAAGGTTGACATGGTCCCCGCTTCGCGGCGCGACGGCCAATGCGCCATTGTCTTTGCTGACCCGCCGGTTGGGAAGCACCACAGGCGGGCAGCCACTCCTAGGGGAGACCAACGGTCTGCTACCCCGCGACCTGAATCCAGGTCAAAGGGTGATCAGCAAAAGGGCAAAGCCCCTGCACAATCCTGGCCCAAGGGCGGAGGTCACAAGGGTGACCAGTTCCCAGGAAAGGGTCACAAAGGTGATCAGTACAAAGGCAAGGGTGGCCAATACGGCTACCAACAAGGGCAGTTCGGTCGTGGCGGATCCGCCAGATCGAGAACTCCCACTGGCGGGTATCAGCCTGATACTCGCGGGTCGGGATACAAGGGTGCTCAGGCAGCCCCTTTCCCGTTCCCAAGTCCGATGTACCCCGCTTTCCCAATGGGAGGGTACATGCAACAGCCAATGGCTGGCATGATGCCGCAAATGTGGCCTGGCGCAATGCCGCAGGGTTGGCAGCCGCACATGCAGGGTGATCCACGCGAGTTCGAGAATCCGAACTCGCCGCATACCCCTACCTGGGGTGCGGATGATGAGTTGGCCGAGACCGTGCCTCCTCCTCCTGGGGACTGGAACGTCAACAAGGGGAGGGGACGGCACGGCGGCGGACGACATCGGTAATACCTGGTGTCCGTCTGCATCTTTTGCGTAGCGGCGCCAACGCGCGCGTGCTTTCATTCCGGAATTCACATAATGGACAATGCTCCCTGTAGTGTTTCTATGTTTGGGCTATTCGCCATTCCAGAATTCAACTGCATGCGCAGCTGTGCGCTATTCGCGCTGGCAGCGATTACCTGTCAGGTGTGCGTCGCCGCAGCAAGGCAGTTACCCTCGCCGGTGTCTACGGCCGCTGGTTGTCAGCATCGTCCAGCACCGCTGCTGCTGCTGGAGATGGAACTCATCAAGGTGCCGCGGTGAGGATCACGGATGCGCTGCACCGCTGCCGGTGAGGTCCTATTCGGACCTGAACCGCTGATTGCAGCTGGTGGTGTTCCTACCGAAGGTCTTTGCGTGATCGCGCGCCTAGACGGTGCTAATTTAAAGACCGTGGTCTTGTGGTCGAAGCACTACGTTTCAACCAGTGGGCCAATGCGCCTAAATCATGAATTCAGGAAATAAATCCACTCGAACCTTACGGTTCGATGTGGTTGCAGTGCAAATGTATTTTTATTTCATGCCTGCCATTCTGGAGTTGAATCTTTGTTTCTGTTTCTTTTTGCTTTCTCTTGTTTGATTTGGCTACCGGCGCGAATCCGCCCCATACCCGTAATTCGGGGTGGTGGCGGGATCCGGGCACCAATGAGTGCCCGGGTATGGGGCCGCGAACCCTGGTAGCCTAATCGGCTCTGTTTTCTTGTTTTTTGCTTTTCAACTTCAACATGGCCAATGCGCCCTTCCAAATTCACTTCCTCTCTTTGTACAGGCGAGGGGGGTGTTTTTGGGGGCATGTACGTTTATCATAGCATGTTTGATTATTGCCATGGCCAATGCGCCATTTGGCTCAAGTTTTCCCTCTGGCAAACTCACACTTGCCATACTCGTCACGGCGCCTTTCAACGGCGCGGCGCCCATCATCGCGCAAAAGGTGCGCGTTGCCGGGAGGCCGCGGTTGGGGCTTGGTCGTGGAGGTGGGTCAGGACACGGGTTTGGGAGGGTGCTGCATTTGGTTTGCTTTGCTTGCTCGCTGCGCTGCATTGTTTGCCTGCCTGGTTTGCTGCTTTGTGCTTGCTTTCGGTTGTCTCTGCCCTTGCTGGGTTCATTCATCTTTTGGTTAAAGGCACCCTGTTTTGGTTCGTTGTTTGTGCCAGCCGGGGGCACCGCTTTGCCCTTGGGACTGGGGGACTTAAACAATCTCTTCTTGTTGGTGGGATTGGGCCTGTTTATTCTCTCCCGAAATACTGTTTCAAACCCTTTCGCACTTTTGAAGGGGAAACCGGGTTTCCTATGTCAAAAAAACATGTTCTCATGACGCACGGGAACCCGGGAAACCCAGTCACAAAGGATGTTTTTTGTCGTGGCCATGAGGAGCTTCAGAAGACTGAGGGATGCAGCGGCCTGGGCTTTGTGCTATTCAGCTCCATGTCCAAAGGCTTCGATGCCGCAGATCCGGAGACAGACCTGGCGACCTTGTACCGCTTCGGGGCTTCGAACGCGGAGGCGAGGGGGAAAAGCAGAAAGAAGAGCGAGCCAAGAAAGACACAAGTTGGTGGGTGTAGGGTTTGGTGGAGAGTTTTTGTGTTTTTTTTTGGGGGGGGCAGGGGTCCTGGGGGTTGCCTGTCATTATTGTTTTGTTTCGGATGTTGGTGGGTTTGCTTGTTTTGGTTTTTGTTGGCTGCCGGGTTGGGCATTTTGAGGAGGCCGTGAGCGGCTTTCCGCATGCAGAGGTTTAGTGGGCTGTTTTTCCCATCGACTGCTGGGTCACTCGAGCAATGGCAGAGGCCCTGGGGAGTGAAATTAAATTGCAGGTGCTGGGCACACGCTGTAGGCTTGTTCTTGGGATGTTCTTTCTTTGGGGCTAAGTAGAAACTTGGGTTGAGGCGCTTTTCTCAGGCATTCACGTTCTGGAGAGCCTATTTTAAAGGGAGGAACTGGTCAATTTTGCTTGTCCCCACTTTTCAACGTTTTGAAGCCCTGCGTGTGTTTTTTGATCTGCAACAGGTGTGCTCGGGTAAGCCCGAGCAAGGCCTCGGAACACGCCTTGAGGTGGTGAAGACAGGAGTCCTGAAGGACGTCAACCAGAGATGCCAGGAGCTGGATCAGGAGCCGTTGTGCTATATGCCGTGAGCGGGACAATGCAAATATGGTCGTGCCCTTTTTGGTGGGGATACCCAAAGTGGGTGGTTTCCCTTTAATTAAGACGATCCCAAAAAGGGCGCCCCCCAAAAAAGACACGCCCCTTCGGGGTAGACGTCGCACCGATAGGTTTTCCAGCATCACCCTTTTGCTTTTTTTGAGGCTGGGGTCTTCGGGAAAGTCAATCAACAGCAAAAGAATCGCATTGGGGACGGGTCAAAATAGGGGGACCGCCCCAAATTTGTGTTCCCCTGAAAACCGCTCCCAAAAAGGGTACCCGTACAAAAAGACACGCCGACATGCGTCACAGATGTTCCAAGTGTCACGGCGCGGTTGCCTCAGGAGTTGGCCAAGGCCATCTCGGAAGGCCGAGTTGAGGGCCTGATCTGCATCTCCTGCGACGCTCGGACTCGCACCATTTCCCAGACCTCCTGTGGTGTTTTGTTTTTGTTCTTTTTTGGCAAGGGGTTGCACCTCGAAGGAAAAGATATACAAAAGAAAGGTGCCGTTTTTGCCCCTGGAGGTCTGGGTGTTTCAGGCGTTTCTCAGTTGTTTGCTCTGCGTCGAAAGGTTGGGGAGTTGAATGGAAAAGCAAAGGGTAATTTGCACAAGTCTTTCTACGATTGCACAGAGGCTAACTAAGAGCCCTATGTTTGTGGAAATGCTAAACAATCCCTTTTAGTTTCAACCATTTCCGCTTGCTCACGACGATGTGTGTTGTTGTAGCCAGCAGCACACGCGCAAGTTGCTCAGGAATTGAGCCACAGGAACTTGCCAATTTGAGCTTCTTCAATCCGGCAGTTCCAAGGATATTCCGGCAGGCTTATTACCTGGTTGGCTCTAGTGTGAAATTGTCACGTCAGACAAACAGGTCGGGGGTTGTCTCAATATTATCACTTGAGTTTCTGTACTTTAGTCACTTTTCGGGTTTGGACCATTTTAGTGGCAAACAGATTGGGGAGCTTTCTCAGGCCAATCCACTGAGGTCCAATTGTTGGGATCCTCTTCAGAAGGCGGCATTTACCAGACACCAGGGTCCAAAATGTCTTTTTGAAATTTTGAACAACTTCCCACGTAATTAGTTGTTCATGGCACCTTGAGGCAAGACCAACTCTGAACGTTTGGTTTGCAATGGACACACAAAATAGTTTTATTGCCTGTTTTGCCCAAGTCTGTCTCAGTGCGTCCATTTTCCTTCATAATCTGCCGTGTGTTGTCTCTTCAGGCTTTTCTTGATGTGTTGTTTCAGTTTGTTCCTGACCGATCACGCGTTTCACCCATCGCTCTTTTCAGCAACTCCATTTTTGGTGCGTTGATTTCATTTTGTGACAAGAAGGGAGTATCTTGATCAGGCTCCACGTAAAATTTCGGAGCGAATTCTTAGTTGACAGGTGTTCGAACGTTTTCAGAAAAGCAGATTCAGATGGGTGTCGGGTAGACCACTGTGGAGGAATCAATAATCCCTTTTTTGGCTGGTTTGAGAGGGGAACCAAATCCAAACCCCGCAAACCATACTCCCTACGCTACATAATTGGGGGGGTGCCCTCACTTATCCGCCCGGACCTAGGGTATAGCAAACCAACAGAGGGTCCAGGAATCCTTGTTTGGTTGGTTTGAAAGGGGAACTGCAGCCAACGGGTCCCCAAACCGACCAATAACGGAATCCTAGTTGAGAATGCTTTTGAAGATGTCACCAACCGGTTTGAATGGGGAATCAAAACCAGCCCCAGCAAATCTCCCTTGAACATGGAATTGGGGGGAGGGGGGATTCCGACCTCTGGAATTCCATTTATGTCAACCCATCTTCCCTTTTAAGTTTGAAATGCTCCATAAATGGACTTGGGCCCCGGACCCCCCCCCAATTCCCTACGTGGAACCCGTCCCACACTGATGAAAATCCCAGCCCAGCAACCTGGATCGGTATAATCGGGCCCAGCAACCTGGATGAGGACGTGGACCTCCACACGGCCACGCTGGAAGCTGCGGCTCGGCGCAAGGCGCGCGAACGGGGGAGGCGAAAAATATCGCGACAGCCTGGAGACGGGTGTCGGGCCTTTCAAACCAGGTTTTATCTTTGGTGCATTTTGCTTGGATGTTAGGACGTTAACTTTTTGCCACCTAATGGGTTTTCCATTAAACCACTAACAGTTAAACTTTTAGCAGGGGAGCGGAAAGCAGCCTAGTTACGGCCAAGAGGCTTCGGAGACAAATAGGGAAATCCAGAAGAAGCGTCAAACCATATCGCCGTTTGCTTCCGGAGCAAGACATCATAGTGTTCACAGGCTCACGAAGATTGTACCCTCTGTGACTTAGGCTTGTGCAGAGGTGAGTTTGCCTAGTTGTTTCAAAGGGGGTTCTCAAAAGAAAGATTACCCATTGTGTGGCTCCGCTATTGTGAGACATACCCATATAATGTTGGTATTGGGTGCCGTGCTTTCGGGTATTAGAGTCTCATTTGGGAAGCAGCAGAAGGAGGCCGCTGCGACGAGTCCAAACCACCAATCCGAAATCAAATCTCGGTCAACCTGAGACTCCTGGCCTCATTATTTTACCATGATCAAAGTCACCCGCTAAGTGGCGGGTTAAAGGGAAACAACCCCATTTTCTGACTTTGATACCCCACCAGAAACTCGCCATTCGCCAGGACTTCCCTGTCACGGGTAGTGGGGGCTCTAGCCTCAGCGCCGCCTCAAGCCGGTTCGGCATCCAGCTGGTGGGAAACGCGGGAGGCGCTGGAGGGTGGGGGTCGGTGTCTTTGGACACACATATAGACACATATGTACATATATACATGTACTACATAAAAGGAATGCATTTGTGTTATGTTCACTCAATTACGCATGTACGTACTATATAAAATGAAATTGAATGTGTTGGTTTATGTTCATATAATTATGCGTTTTTTTTCATAGATACATATACGTATACATGCATGAGGGATTCCATGCGCACATGTATGCATGGGGCTTTAAGCACACACTGCTAACTTTCACAGATGCATTCCACTCAATGACATGAACAGCTCGTGAGAGAGCCAGTGTTATCGACCCCAGTAAACGTGGTGGATTCGCGTTCTGGGCTGTTTTGCAACCATCTTCATTCACACTGTGTTTGTTCAAGTTTGTTCACTTCGAACCTGTTCCCCAAATGCACTTTGTTCAGGCCAGCTCAGCTTCTGACACTAGTTTATTTCCAGATCCAATGCAACCTCATATCCAAAGCTGCACAATCGGAGCTAGCTTTCATGGTCGTCCATATGGGCGATTTCCCCTTGAAGTGGCTTTCAATCTCAGCTTCTGGTTGCAAATCTAAAGTGAGTTTCCTGAGGTGACGTTTACAGGATGGCCCTGCTTGGTTTCATGTGATCTTGTAGGTTTTTCTTGCACCAACATAGCTATCAAGTACCCAATGAGTGGATTTGGGGTTCCCTTCTTCTAAATCTGACAAAAACAAACATACAACTTACAGAGGAGATCATGAAACACGTTCCTTTTTTAAGGGGACTGCGCATGTACGTGTGTGTTTTTTCAAAGAGTAATGGTTACCCTTCGTTGCTTTGGATTGGTGGCTGTAGGATTTGAACTCCTAGTTCTTGTTGAATGGGAAACTACTTGCTGGTGCGATAGGTAGGGAATGACTTTCCGGGTGTTGGGAACGAACCGGAAGGGGATTCCCTTAAAGGAAGCCATAGGAAATGGATGGTGTTCCTTGGGGTCATTCCATGTCTGATTCCCGGCCTATCGCACCAGCAAACCCCTAACCCCTTTAAATTGCTGGCTTGGATTTGGATTTGAATTTCTGGTTCTTGTTTATGGGAAAAGCCACCCATGGAAAAGCACCAGGTCTAGGGCCCACCAAACCACCATGCGAAAAACCACCCGAACCGCCCACCCTTCAAACCGCATCTCATCCGACTCCAACGCACAGTTGAGCTTCCTGGTGCGATCGGCAGGGAATTAGAAATGGAATGACACCCCCAAAAAACCTTTCCACTGGTGGTTGTTCCTCTTTTTCGGGAATCCCCAAACAGTTCATTTTCCATTTCTCATTCCCTTTCTCGCACCAAGCGTCTGAGGGTTTTTGTATTACACGGTTTTATCCGGATTATGTGCCTAAATGGGGTCAATACCCAGTGGGTGTATTCCCAGGGTGTAATTAATACAAACACCGGTAGGAAGTGAGAGGCTCGGTGGCCACCACCTCCTACACCCGCGCGGTGTCCTACACCTACGCCTTGGCCACGGCCTGGTCGAAGCCCTACCGCCCCTTCGGTTCGCCGAGGCGAGAGAGCCCACCCGCCTGGACCAGCGCCTCGGGGAAGAAAGCGCTTCGAGTGGGTTGGAATGGGCGGAGAGGTGTCATGTGCATCTTTTCAAGATGGACGTTTCTCAAAATGGCGGTGGGTCAAAATTAGACTACCAGGACACCACGGGTGTTTGTCCATGTTTCCATGTACCAGAGTTCCATGTTGGGTACCCACGTTTGAGCTGGGTGTCTTCTGGTTTCCCTTTCGATGTCAACCAAGAGGTGGTCCTCCGTTTCAAGGAGCCCTCGGAGAGAAGAAAAACAACTCAGGTGATATCCCCAAACAGCATGCGGTGCTCTTTCTCGTGGAACCGTGGAACCCTTGTGGAACCTTACCTCGCCGCCCCGGACCACCCCGGAGCCTATTTGGGCTGAGACCCCAAAGCTTTCAGCTGTTGGGGAAAAAGGATCAAATATTCGGTGTTGTTGTGATACATCAATGGGCAGTATATAGTGAGGAGAGGGAGAAGAGAGGGAGAGACATTGTCACATGAAGGATTTAACATCACCTGCGCAGATCTTCGTAATGCTTTGCGTGTTTGATCAGCGGGCCAGCCCCACTCGGATTTGACAGCATCTGAAGGTGTCTTTGGCGCCCCTTCGCGCGAATTGGGCGAGGGTCCGAGAGGGGGGGAGTTGGACCCCTGGAATTCCATTTAGGTCAACCCATGTTCCCTTTTGTTGGAATACCAGGTAAACGGAAGCGGTCCCCGGAGCAAAAAACACAATCCCCTTCCCTTAAGGTAGGGCGCCGTGCGTAGAATCCGTCCTATTAATACTGATGGACAACATCTACCAACAGCAGCAGTTGGGATTGGTGGTTGATCAACCAGTATTCAAATCAGGCTTCATCCATCCCAACTGGTGCAAAGCGGATTTTCTCCATCCATGGTAGGGGATGTTCCTTCCAAACATGTTCTGAACCCCCCACTAAAAGGGGACACCTCCCGATCAAAACCAGGGATAAGAACTCCCCCGTTTGCAGGCAAGGAATCTGTGTTTGCAACACCGGTTGCCCTCTGTTGGGCAAAGCCCTGGGCATTTTTTTGGGGGGGATCCTTTGCTTGCTGGTGCGATAGGTAAAAAATGAGAAATGGAATGACCCCTGGAAACCATCCCCGGTTGCCTTTCAGGGGACCCCCAGGTACATTCCATTTCGCATTCCCTACCTATCGCACCTAGGTCCTCCAGATTTGAGAGGTTAGAACAGGGGTACCAACTTTTTTTGTCGATTTTAGTAGGGGAACCCTCCCAACCAAAAAAGACACGGTGAGAAAGGGCACTGGGGCAACCAGCAAGTTCAATCCGAGGCATTTTGAACGCCTCGCTGCCGGCCTTTTGGGCCGTGATGCTGACCTGCCGCTGCATCGAGTCGCTGCCGGAATTGGAGGGGCTTCGGCTGGCAGAACTGTTGGTGCTGCTTCGAACTGTGGCGCTGCCGGCCGTGTAGCTCGGCTCACAACTTGTCGTCAATTTGAGGGTGTCTTGCTTAAAAGCTTAACCTGATCTTGTTGTTCCATGTATTGTGGTGTTTGCCTTTTTGTTGAAAGGAACATGATTGACTCCATGTCCTCTGTATTTGGGAAATTCTCAAGATGCTCCTCCCTTTTGTTTCCCAGCCCTACCATGCCCTTTGAGTTGGGTTAAAACCCCCTTTCCCGAAAATCCCAAGCCCCGCTCTCGATGGACGAAGCCGCAAGCCTGAGTTTTCGTCGGGTGAAAGTCGACGAGTACTGGGACAAACCACAGATGATGTGGTGAGTGGATTTCTTGACTGCTATTGGGTTGGATCTTTAGACTTTAACTTGTTGGGAATTCAAGGTGTTCAACTAAACCCACAAAAAGTTAAACTTGTTGCAGAGGGGTCAACAGCAGCTAGGATTTTGTCCATCCACAACAGTGGGGTGCTTCCACCAAAGGTTAAAGGGAGGCACCACCACTATGAATCCACCCGGTCTTGATTTTGGGATGAGGGAAACCCTATCGCAGTTGTTCAAAACCGACCTTTTGTCTGTTTTTGGTTTTCACATGTTGGTCGAAAATTGTCAAGTTCACAATAAAAGGTGATTACATTTTATTTCTGGGTCTCAACTATGCAACATGAGTAGTTTGGATACTCCACCTGGTTTTGTCCATCAAATGGACCGGAAGTCCCAACAAGCCCCCCACCCCAAACCCCCAACACCCCCAAAGCCGCCAACACCTCCCAAACCCCTTAAACCCCCCAAACCCCAAAAGCCCCAAACACCCGAAGAAGAAGGATCCCTGGCAAGAATGGGGAAGTGTCCCCCAGATACTTGAATTTTCAGAAAACCATCAGAACCCCAGGCGAAACAGCTGGATTTTGAAAAGAAGAATGGTTGAAAAGAATGGAGAATCAACCCCTGGAAAGTAGGGAGGTTCCCCCCCCCCCTCCCCGCTGGCCGCCACTTGGCTCAGAGGTGCTGCGTGGTCACCGCCAGCTCTCTGGCGCCGCAGCACGAGTCTACGGCGCTCATGGCGGCGGCGGTGGCGTCTATGGCGTGCCGGAGCTCCATCCTGGCAGGAGCGGAGATGGCATTGGGTCTCTTCCGATTGGGTTGAACACCCCCCCAAAATGAATTTTCGGTGCTCCGTTTTTGGGGGCTTCCAACTGAAGAAAGCCACGAGAAAGGCGTTGTCTTCTTTTAAAAGTTGGACCCCCCCAAAATGGAGCTCGGTGGTCCGTTTTTTGGGTTTCCAAATGCAACAAATCGAGACAAATGGGTACCGCAACAAAAAAGACGCTTAAAGCGGGTGTTTCTGAAAGTGGGTACCGTGTTTCTCAAACTGAGAGCCGCCAAAAGGGCAGGTTCTGGTTCCCGTCTTTCTAATCATGGAAGTCGACATAGGGCTTCCCCGAAAAGAAAGCTTTCAGTAAAGGCTTGAGCCATCCCCCTGTTAAACAGGTAGGTACCATGTCTTTGAACATCATTCTGTGGGTTCAAAGGTGTCTTTTGCGGGGTTCTCCATTTTAGTGGCTTTAAACAGAACATGCTTGGCCGGCTTTTAAGGTGAGGTTCCCTCGGTTCTCGGAGCAATGTGGATGGACGAAATCCACGCCAGGTACCTGTTGAGGTAGATGAGCCCCGAATTGAATACAGGTATCAATTACCTACAGGATTTTCTCCGTCATTTTAAAGGGACGCCAACCATGACCCAAAGGGCCAGGAAGGTACATGGAATTGAATTGTTTGCGCTGAACCACCAATCATAAGCGGACACATTGTTTCTTGCCGAACTCTGATATCCACCAATCGGTGTGGAAACTCACACCTAAATATGTTTGTGTTTTGCACAGCCTTTCTTCTTGGATGGTTCAGGGGGGAACCTAAAGGAAACTAGCGACGCTTGATCCCATGTTTTGTTTTCCCGACTCTGCCCCCATGGCAAATTGGACCTCTGGCTTGGTTTGGTGGTTCGGATTGGTAGCGGGATGTGAACCCCTAATACCACACCACCGGGCTTCAAATCACTAGTCCAGGGTAAGGTGATTTCAGGCCCACCTCCAAAGTGAGGTGGCTGGTGGTTGTTTCTCACATGGATGGGTACGGGAAATCGGTCTGGAATCCGGATTTTAGATGGACGTAGCAAAGCTTTTTGATTTGTAGTCTTGGGTTGTCCTTGACCAGGAAATAGCCTTGGGCGGTCTAAGTAGGAAGCCCCACAGCTCTGTCTAACAAAGAATGCACAGGCGGGGCTGCCAACACAATCCCGTGTTTTTTTACGGCACGGGGATCGGTGTTGAAAGTTTTAGTGTTTAGGTTTGTCTAGTTTGGACGAGAACCATGTTTGTTGGGGGGCTGGGGGCAAAAAGGGGACGTACTTTAGGGAATCCCACGTGTTTAAGCTGACTTTGTATATGTCCCTGTTGGTTTTCAAGGGCCATGGTCATCACCAATGAATATCACAAGTTTCAGCAACGCCTGAAGCAAACATGGAAAGATGTTGATACCTAAGTAGGCGTTGGCATATGTGGGGCATTTCTCGGTTCCGAAATATTGGTCGCCAGCAAGTCACCCCAGTGCCCAGGCTTAGGATTGCCACGCACCCTAGTACAAATCCAGATGCATGGCTGTAAAAAGGTCTGTCTTCAGAAAGATATGGCCCTGATCCGTAAATGTTCTACTTTTCAGTGAGGCAAATGCAAGTGAAAGATGTTCATAGCTGTGTTAAGTGAGGCTTTGGTAATGATTTTCTGTGCATTACCAATCCCATTTCCAGGACGGGAATCGACCACTTTCGTATCACACATTGTGGACGGCCCACTGCCAAAAACCATGAGACGTGATGGATTTCGGGGCCTATGCATGGCTCCGCGTGTTTTCGGGGGATTTGAATCCCCATTTTGAAGAGATCGTTTCTGCAACCCCGGGCAGGATTGCTGGCTGGCTGGATGGTGGCCATGTCTCTTGACCGCGTCTTGTTCCGCTGCATCGTTTGGAATGAGTCTCGGCATGCTGACCGGGTGAAATTAAGTCCCAGGTGTTTTTTTGTTTTTGTGCGGGGGTTGCTGGGGGTGTTTGTTGAGGAATTTTTGCCTGGGGGGGGCCTGAAAAAAGACACCCTACCGCCGCTGTCTTTCCAGAAAACCTGTACGGATTTCACGGAAACACCTGTGGAGAGCTATGGTTGAACAGAACCGGGAATCAGCCCTAGATTTGGTGTGGGTGTAACATCATCTTTTGGGGCAATGCGACGTGGGTCATTGTAGGTTTCTGCACGAGTTAAAATGATCTTACCTGGCGGGGTAAACGGGCCTATTCAAGATGAAAGTCACTTACAAGCCGATTCTTCATTTCCCGCAGAACGTCAGTGGACAAAACAAAACCCTGATATAAACCACTTACCAACTGGTGCGTGGCACGGACGATTTCCCATCTACATAACTCAGTTGCCCAAATCCGACCTTTACTTTTTTGTTCCTCTTTTTTGGCCCATTTTGAGCCAAGGTTCCAATTGGTTGCTACCTTTTTGGCCCATTCTGAGCCAAGGTTCCAAGATGTGAACCATTTCTCTGAGTCTTTTGGGCAACTGAGATTCCCGGACCCAAGGTGCCAGCCACCTTTACGAACCTGGTGGTGGCAGGGGGACTGGGCGCGGCAGTGGCCTGCCTGGTGGCTCCCTGCGCGCCTCTCGGACCTGCCTGACGTCGGGGCCGGATGTTCGTTTGGAGGGTACACTCTTCCAGGTTGGCTTAAAGGGAAACCAACATCTTGGTGCTCCCCCAGCCATCCCCTTAGCTTTTTACACTTTTAGTGTTAGAGGGGGTTTCCATTTGACCCACTAAAAGTGAAACTTTTAGCAGGGGATCTGAGGGCAGCCCTGAAAAGGAAATCAATCATTTTCGGGAGTCCAACCAGTTTGTTTGACGCCTACCCATGTTGATAGTGTTTGTCTCGTTTTGGATGCATTGTCTCGTTTTGACGACAACTATAGATTTAGTATCCATGATACTTAATATATCTATATCCATTTTGGCTTGTTCCCTCCTTTGCAGAACCAGCTGGACTTGACCCCAGGCCGTTGCTGCGCGAAGTGGCCGTGTGGATCCGCTGGGCTGCGCATTGGCCTCTGGCCGGGCAAGTGCCGGGTGCAGGGCTCTTGCTGGGCGCGGTCTTCTGCTGGGGCAGCAAGGAGGGACGGGGAACCACAAAAATGCAGGTCCACTTTGGACTACATCTTTCCTTTCGAAAGATGAACCACCCCTGGGTTGAAGTCTACCCTGAACCTGTCAATACGCGGAACTCTGAAATAATCGGTAGGGTAGGGTCATGTTGGGATCTATTAGCTCGTGGGTGTGAAGGGAGTGGTTCCCTCTTCTGCAAGACTTTTTGTTTCGAGTAGGGCAGGCTAAGTATAGATGAGGCTGGGCAAACAAGTACGAAGTTCACCGGGGAAAAACAAGCTCACCCCAAAAGGGCCACCTTCTTAGGGGTGGTGGGTGCTCAGAACCTTCCTCAAATGGTTTTGTCTCATGGGCATACCAGAACATGGATTTCCCTTTCAAACCAGTTCAAAAGGGTCAAAACCAAACTTTACCCAGAAAAAATCGGGACCTGGTTGCTCCAGGGCGGACCTGGTTGCGCAGGTGGGGTACTACCACTCCGTTGCGTTGCCTCTGATCTTGCTGGAGATGGAGCTGGGCAACGCCAGTCTGTGGGGCGCCGTGGATGAGGCGTTTGAATGCCGTCGGTGGGGAAGGAGGGTGGGACCTCTATGAACCATCCCTCGTGGGTTCCTTTGGTATTTAAAGGATCCCAGGTTCATTCCCAAAACTCCTCGTCATTCCCAACCAGAATCTGCAAGATGTTTAAGGCAGCCAATTCATGCCGGCAGGGTTGAAGCGGGTATTTCACAGCTGGATTGCAAGAATATCTATCCTCGAAGTCGCTATGCCAAAGCCCAAGGGGTGGAACATGAGTTTGGTTTACCCGCTTTCTACCCTCGTAGGCCGGTTGGTCTTCGTTTCCGTCCAAAAGTGTGGTTACTTTGGTGCATGTTGCTTGGATGTTAGGACTTTAACTTTTTGCCAACTAATGGGGTTTTCCATTAAACCACTAAAAGTTAACCTTTTAGCAGGGGAGCAGAAAGCAACCGAGGTTATATGATCAGTCTCGTCGGACCCTTTTTGAAGTGTGCAGACAATTAATCAAAAGAGGCAGGCTCCAGCCTGAAGCCGGCCCTAAATCGCGCGTATGTTCTGAGTTACCCCAAAAACGGCCAAAAGGGGATGGGGCATGTTGTATGGTTTTTTTCCAGACCTCTATCGCTCGCTATGAATTTCAATAAGGAACCCCTCCAAAAAGTTGGACACAACTCACCACGTAAGTGATGTCCACCAAAGGGTTCCTAATTCAACTTCACGCCCGTATGGATATGTCATGGCCCTTTTTGAGGGTACCCTTGTTGGTGGTTTGGAAGGGAAACCAGCTGAAAACAAAGCATCCGCGAGGCATGCCTCGTCTTGGTCTGCGCCGGCATTTGCAGCGCCAATCTCTTGGTGCCGCTCGACGAGGAGTCGAAATCCCTCTGCCGCAGGGGCCTTCGGATCAACCTCCTCTACGGGGACTTTATCGCGCCTTGGCTTTCAGTGGGTGAGTCGCTGGGTGGCTGGCTGGGATGGGGTGGGGTGTGGGGTGTGGGGTGTGGGGTGTGGGGTGTGGGGTGTGGGGTGTGGGGTGTGGGGTGTGGGGTGGGTGGGTGATGTTCGGGTGGGTAGGTGATTTTGGGTGATATTTGGGCGGGTGGGTAGGTGTCTTTTGACGACACTTAAATAGTTTTGAAGACAATGACATGCCCTTGCTAATAGTGTTTGCCTCTTTCATGGGTTCGATCTCGCCGAAGTCAGGGGTAAAACGAGCTGTCGGTCCTTTACTCGGGGATCCAATTCTGCTTGGTTCCCCTTAAAAAACCAACCAAAGAAAGCGTACTCTCACCAAAAGACTGGCCCGAATGCGGAAAAATCATCAAAGGTGTACCCCCAAAAAAGCAACACACCCATGCGGTTCTGGGGCAAAAAACAGTTCAACCTTCAAAACGGAAGGATGCTGACCACCTCTAGACGTACGGTCGGCTCTGACTCGAAGATGTTCCCTCGGCTTTATGGTCACGACTGGTATGGTATGTGTCAAAATAGCTGACCCCCAAAATGGTGGTTTCTTAGGGTTTCGGCTTGTTTGTGAAGAGAGGGGGGGTGGGGGGAGTGGTTTCTCCGTAAATGTGAACAGGATACAACTTCCCTCGAACACACATACCGTTACGTACTTTTGGCAAGGGTTGGCGTTCTTTGGGGTGTTGATTTTTGTTTTTTGCAATAGGGGGCTCCAGTGCCTGGTTTGAATGCTTTCATAATCACAATGACTACACTACAGCACGGCTTGTGAAAGCCATTTTGGCAGAACCAAACATCAATGGGTTTCGGGCGCTGCTTATTCGGAATCCGATGGTTAGTTCTCCCATAGCTCATTCCGGAGTTCATTTTTTTTTTTGGATGGTTCTAAGATTCTTATGTTGTCCAT